AAAAAAAAAAAAAAAAGTGGGTGTAGTAGTACATGCCTGTAAGTCCAGCATTTGTAATCCCAGTACTCATAATGCCAGCACTCATAATCCCAGCACTCGGGAGGCTGAGGCAGAAGGATCCCTATGAAGTTGGAGCCAACCTGAGCGACATAATGAGAACCTCTCTCAAAACAAACAAAAAATGAATCAAAGAGCTAAATGTAAGACCTCAAACTTTGGAACTGCTAGAGGAAAAACGGAGGCACTTGAAGCCATTGGCTTAGACAAAGACTTCATGAATAGGACTCTAGTAGCACAGAATATAATAGCAAAAACCAGTCAATGGGGCTGTGACATTAAAGTGTGTCTGCACAGCTGAGGACATAACAGTGAAGAGACAGCCAACAGAATAGGAGAAAAATCTTTGCTAGTTACTTTTCTGACAGAAGATAATATCCAGAATATATAAAGAACTCAAAAAACTTAAACCTGAAGGAAACAAGTAATCCAACCAGTAAATGGACAAATTAACCAAATAGGCACTTTTCTGAAGAAATGCAAATGGACAATAAATAAAAAGATAATCAGCATCTTCAGTGATCAAGGAGCCCAGTGTGGAGCATCTGAACAAGGTAGGAGGTCCAGCCTCAAGATAAAATAGACTTGGGATATGGCTCAGTGCAGAGGCCTTAGGTTCAGTCCCCAGTACCAGAAAGGAAGCAGAGGGTAAGGATGAAGGGCACCACTGCATCAGTGAGTGAGTGCATGATGAATGAATGCTGGCAGGAATGAGGTGAGGCACGTAGTGACTGTTAGTGGGAATGTAAATTAGTTGCAGTATCGGGGATTGAACTCAGGACCTCACACTTGCCAGGCAAGCACTTATTCTAATGAGCTATCTCCCAGCCCAGGAATGTAAATTAGAATAGCAACTCTGGAAGTCGGTATGGAGATTCCCCAAAAAGCTAAAACTAAAGCTCTCATTTGATCCAACTCTATCACTCCTCCTCACTGTACTTCAAAGAATTATAGCTCATGCATTATAGAGAAAGCTATCAAAGTGTATCATGTGCATGTACAAATACGCCAAAATGAAATCCGCTGTTCTGTATGTCTAATGTGTACTAATAAAAAAATGCCTTTAGGGTTTCCGTGGCGGCTGAACTGGTGGTCGGCTGTGCGGCCACTCCTGCGGGCCCTGGCCTCGCGACTGCTGTGCTCTGCAGCAGGAAGTGCCTCTCGCAAGGACTGAATATCAGTGCAAGCTTGAAAAAGATAACTTTCTTTCTCCTGCGCCATGGCATATCAATTATACAGAAATACTACTTTGGGAAACAGTCTTCAGGAAAGCCTGGATGAGCTCATACAGTCTCAACAGATCACCCCCAACTTCCCCTCCAAGTTCTACTTCAGTTCGATAAGGCTATAAATTCTGCACTGGCTTAGAGGGTCAGGAACAGAGTCAATTTCAGGGGGTCTCTAAACACAGGTTCTGCGATAACATGTGGACTTTTGTACTGAACGATGTAGAATTCAGAGAGGTGACAGAACTTATCAAAGTGGATAAAGTGAAGATCGTGGCATGCGATGGTAAAAATACTGGCTCCAATACTGCAGAATGAACAGGAGAAAAAAGCGGCCTCTTACGCCACCATCTCCTGTCATTCATCGCTTTTTGAAGAGACACATAGAAGAGACTTTATTTACTCTAGCATTGCAGAAATGACTACACTGCTATACTATCAGAATTCCGGCGGGAAGTGCTTACAGCTCTATCCTTTTACATTATCTGTACTATAAAGCATGAAGAAACATAACTTTTTTAAATGGCAAATCAAAGGTTGTAGCCCTCCTGAGAACAGTCTTTAATAAACTCATTTGAAAACTCAAAAAAAAAAAAAAAATGCCTTTAAAAAAGTTTACATGTTATTTGGTGTTACGTAAAATGTAACGAGCTAGGTGCGGTAGTGCACACGGTAGTGCACACTTGTAATGCTAACACTCTGGGAGGCTGAGGCAGAAAGATCCTAACTTCAAGCCTAGTCTAGAGCACTTAGTGACTTAGTAAGACTATGTCTTAAAAATATATAGCTCAGTGTTAAACGCCCTTGGTTCAGTTCCCAGTACTGGAAACACACACACACCCATAATGGTTGACTTTTATAGTGAAAAGGTATTTGTATTGTTTTTTAGCCCCAAATTCTATTATCATAAGTAATTGAAAGCCTATAAATGCTGATATATTTCCTCTAGATATCAGTGCTTTATAATAATTGTATTTTAGATTCCAACAGTAAGTAGTTGAAAATTAACAAAGCTTAAGATATTCAAATGGGTTCTTTAAACCTGAAGCTTTATTTTCTGCCATATCAAAAGGCATAATCCAGCTATTTAGTACTAAAGCAAGCCCAGAAGAGTCTTTTTTTAATTTTTTATTTATTTATTTGTGTGTGTGTGTGTGGCCAGCTCAGCCCACCAGGGGGCGGGCTGGCTGGCATGTGGTGCTGGGGGATTGAACCGCGGTCCCTGGGCTTTGCTAAGTTTGTTTTAAGTAGGTGCTTTAGACCACTGAGCCATCTCACCAGCCCCAGAAGAGTCTTTTTTATTTATTTATTTATTTATTTTATTGAGAAATAAATATGAATGAGACAGTTACCCAGCTGATTAATAGGACAGTTTTGATAATCAATACACTATACGTTCATTGTTATCTTCTTAGTGGTTATCCATAGTACAAGAAGCAGACAGGATATTCTGTCCAAACAGTGTTAGTACACCTCTTTCTTCTCATTGAATTAAGCGAAAGTAGCTGTAAATTTATCCTAACTATACAAAATGATCTTTCCTTTGTATCTTTTTTTTTTTTTTTCCTGTCAGAGGTGAATATTCTATTGGCATCTAAATACTACAGGTGTTTGAATTCAACTAAGCAATCTAACACTGTCTGGCAGTCTATAATATTAGTGGGTTATCCTCAAGTTATTGACTTGAGCCTTTTACAACTCATCGTATTAATATGGGTTTATTTTATATACCTCGTTTTTATACTTTTCTGCTGGATGGTTAAGACCAAGATATAGCAAGACCTATATAACAAGAAATATAACTTTTGTATCTGATAAGGTCAGCCAAGTACTCTCAGGATTTATCCTGCAGCCCTGTACCACCTTTTGTACATCCTCTTGTCAGTGTCTGACATGAGGATGAGTCACAGCCATTGCTTGACCAATTTGCTCTCTGTGAAAGCTTGAGAAAATGTTTTTTTCTCTCCATGTGACTCTCTTCAGGCTCACTTTAGATCATCGAACACATTCCTCTGTGGCTCCATAATCCAGAAGAGTCTTAAGAGTAATTTTTTTGACTCCTGGTAGCCTGGTGGGATGTTGTTGTTGTTGTTTATTATTCAGCTGCTATTATCTTCAGTGATGGGATGTCTGGAATAAGGACAGGAAGGGTAATGTCTAGTTGGTTTTTAAAAATCCTCTGAGTTAGTGAAGATTTATCCTAATATAATTCAAACCATGGATTGAGTCCCAAGAGATACACATTTGTTAGAGAAGACCAGAGCATAGCTGTCTTCTGCATTGTTAAATTTCTGATACTTTTAAAGATTGCTTTATTTTTTAAATGTATTTGGTACAGGGTTTTACTATGCAGTTTGGATGCATAGTGATCCTCCTGTTTTTAGCCTCCCCAGTGCTAGAATTACAGGCATGTGCCACCATGCCCACCCGGACTCAGGCCAGCGCAGCCTGTGATACCAGGGGTATAACCTTGGTCCCTGCACTTGCCTAAGCAGGCTCTTAGTCTGCTGAGTTACCTTGCTGGCCCAAGATTGCTCTTCTTAAAAGGAAGTGAGTTCAAGGCCAACCTGAACTACATAACATGACTGTGTCTTAAATCAAAAACGAAACTTTAGGGCCGGGGAGATAGCTAGCTAATGCTTGCCTGGCAAATGCAGGGACCTGAGTTCAATCCCCAGTTCCACAAAAAATTAAAGATAAATTGAAATAGTGATACAGTGGTCCCTCACTTATCGTGGAGGTTACATTCCAGTAAGTGAATATAACCTAAGTGAAAATAGGTTAGTTTCGATGAGTGAAAATCTGTGAAATGGCAACATTATATTTTAGTTTTATATATATTCTAAGTCTTCATAAACCCTTCTCATACTCTTATAAACCTTTTTTACACTTTCAGAAAACACTTCTAATATTCTTAACCATTTTCTAAACTCATAAACCTATGTAATTTTAACAACATGTATACTGTACAGTGCTGCGAAATCCTGCCATATAGTGAAAATTTGTGAGAGATCTTTTTTTTTTTTTTAAGACCCACAAAATAGTGAGTCATTGAAAGTCAAACCACGAAACAGCAAGGGACTACTGTAATTATAGGAGGAAATATTACTTTGTACTTAAAAACTGGTGAATAATCCTCTTTGACCTTTTATCATCCTGTGGATATTATGGAAAAATAACAGTGTAGATCACTTTTTATATTTGTGTCTTTATTTTTTGTTTTGAACTTGCTTATGTAGCTCAGGCTAGGGTCAAACTCATGGAGATATTCCTGCCTCAACCTCTCAAGTTCTGGGGTTTTAAATGAATAGAACAATCTTGCCTAAAGCCTCTTAAAACAAGGTCAGGTTTTATTAAGTAAATGAATCTTCTTCATCCTCAACAGGTGGCGGAGGGAAGACAAGAAGAAATCCAACAGAAGGGACAAGCTGAGAAGAAAGAATTACAGCACAAAATAGATGAAATGGAAGAAAAAGAACAAGAGCTCCAGGCAAAAATAGAAGCTTTGCAGGCTGATAATGACTTCACCAATGAGAGGCTGACAGCTTTACAAGGTAAGTTAGCTGACTCAGAAATTCATTAGACTAGATTAATTTTTTCTTTTTGTCTGTGAAATATCTTTCTCTTGGAATTTTATTTGCAGTACGGTTAGAACATCTTCAGGAGAAAACTCTTAAAGAATGCAACAGCTTAGGTAGGTGCCATCCACATTTTTTATTTAAAGCTGAGTTTAATCATTAATTATTTTTTTACCTTGTTTACTATCTCACATTGGGTAATTTTTAAAGTACATTTTATATATTAGGTATATTTTACGTATTTATTTATTGTATTTTTTTAGTAAACGTCTACAGGGTCTTACTATGTAGATCGGACTCATAGTGATCCGCCAGTGTTCAGCCTTCCAAAGAACTGGGGTTACAGGTGTGTGCCATCAAGCCCAGCCACCTCGCCCAGTCTCATTCGCCATCTCAGCTTGTCCCAGGGGGTGAGGCCAGCACAGCATGCTGGGGATTGAACCCTGGCCACTGTGTCTGCCTAAGCAGGTGCTTTGGCTGGGGATATAGCTCAGTGGCATAAGCGCCTGCCTGGCAAGCACAAGGTCCTGAGTTCAATCCCTAGTACCACAAAAGGAAAAAATATAAAAATGAAAAAGATAAAGAAAGTTATTAACATAAAAAATAGATTCTAAGCAGACATTTTAATCCACTGAGCTATTTGACCAGCTCTATATATTAGGTGTAAAATGCTACAAAAAATTTCCCTTTAAAATATACTTGATTGTCACTAGTGGGCACCTGAGGTGAATAAAATTTCTGCATCTGCAATATTCTACCTAAATCCATGAACAGTAGGATTCTTTATCTTCTGTGGTTCATTGGAAGACATCTAAGCTTGAACCTATCATAGGAAAGGGCAAATTGAAGCTTTCCTGTGGAAGCGTCAGTACCAACTTACTATGAGCAGGAATAGAAAATGCTGTGACTATACTTGAGACCAATTTTAGAGTAATATTTTCTTTTATCAGGCAATGATACACTGTCTTAATCCTAGGGTTACAAGTTGAGGACTTCTTACCTAAAATAAATGGGAGCACAGAAAAAGGTAGTGTAAAAAACTTAACATTTTTCTTTCATAATATCCTTTTACTGTTTGAGTAGGTTAGGGAGCTCAGGGTATTAAAGTTTTAAGTGTTTATAATAAAAAATGTGCCATTCAGAGACTGAGGGATTTTATTTTTTAAAATTAGGCTTCCCAGGCTGGAGATGGAACTCAGTGGCAGGATGCTTGCCTAGAATGTGAAAGACCCTGTCTCACAAAAACACCAAACAACTCAAATCAGGTTTCCCTTACTTCTAAGATATAAGTAGATGCTCTGGCCTATTCTTTGATATCCTGTGTTATATAGAGATTTCAACAGTGGTGGGTGGAGCATGCCTGTAATCCCAGCACTCGGGAGGCTGAGGCAAGAGGATCATTGCAAGTTTCAGACCTGTGTGAACTGCATAGTGAGACCCTGTCTCAAAAAGACAGAAAAAGAAATTTCAATTTCTATATTAGATAGAATTTATAACAATTCTATGGACTTTTATAATAATTTTATCTGCTTTTTTTGGTACTGGGGATTGAACTCAGGTCTTGTACTTTCCAGGCAGGTGCTAATGCCACTGAGCTATCTCCCCAGCCCCAACATAACAATTTTTTTTTTTAATTTTATTTATTTATTTGTGTGTGTGTGTGTGTGTGTGTGGCCAGCTCAGCCCACCAGGGGGCGGGGCTGGCTGGCATGTGGTGCTGGGGGATTGAACCGCGGTCCCTGTGCTTTAGCTGAGCTTGTTCTAAGTAGGTGCTTTAGACCACTGAGCCATCTCACCAGCCCCCAACATAACAATTTTATAACAATTCTATGTTATATAGAATTTTCATTTTTAGTATAAAGAAATGATAAAGTTCATTGTTACTGGAGGCTTACATATAGACTGTGGCGCACACCTGTAATCCCAGTGCTTGGGAGGCTGAATATAGGAGAATCACCACAAATCCAATATGTGCAGTGAGACCCTATAGACCCTGTACTAAATACAAAGAAAGAAAGAAAAGTAGGGGCTTATAAAATACAGCTCTTTTTCTCCCACTGTATTTTTCAAGGCTATATAATCATTTTTTTTCTCTTCAAGTTCTGGTTCAAGAGCTGTATTTTTATGACTTTTTGAGACAGAGTCTTATTAGGTAGTATAATCTGGCCTTGAATTTACTTATGGAGCCCAGAATGGCCTTGAACTCATGGCAATCCTCCTGTCTCAACCTCCTGAGTATTAGATTATAGGCATGTGCCGCCACACCCAGTTAAACTCTATTTTTAATATGTGAATTCATTTAACAGACCATTGAGCCCTTGGACATGAGAGAGAAACTACTTTCTTTATCCATCGGTTTCATTAATCAAAAACAGTCATTTTGCCATCAGAATAATCTGTTCTTGGTTCTGTGACTATTTTGATAGCATAGATTCTTTCTTATTAAAAACTGGTAGGGGCTGGGGAGATGGCTCAGTAGAATAAGCACTTGCCTGGCAAGTGTAATGGCCTGAGTTCAATCCCCAGTTCTGCAAAAAAACAAAACAAAACAAAACCAAAAAACTGGTAGCTGCTGTGTATTGGTTTTTGTTAGTATATAAAGGACTTTTTACCCAGTGACTTCTGTAATCCTTTAGTCTTGAATATTACTGTTGACTTTTGACCCGTTTATCCAAGATTAATTGAACACCAATAATGTGACAGATCCTGTACTAGGTGCTTGGAGCACGAAAGGAATAAAATTGTTATCTGTGTATATTGACTTATGTGCACGTTATCACAGTTTTTATACCGAAATTAGAGAGGGCTATCAGGGTCAATGACAGAACTTCCTGTTAAATATTTTTTCTATGCCTGGTGGGGCTTTTTTAGTTCCTCACCAGCAATAAAAATGGCAAAATTGGGGAGGTGGTTTATTTTGTTCTTGTTTGGCTAGCTTTTAATGAAGAACTGGCAAATAGACTCAGGAAACATGTATGTGTGAGCTGTGAGGTCAAGACCTATTATTACGTATTGTATCTTAGAACTCTGAATGAAGGAAAAAAAAGTTTCTTTAAACATTGACATTTGAGAGGGCGGGGATATATAGCTCAGAGGCACAACACTTAATTGGCAAGTGCAAGGTCCTGAGTTTGATTCCTAATACCAAAAACAAACAAAGCTATTTAACATTTGTGTGCATGTTTTATAAAATATATTGATTTTTTAATTCCTAATTTGATTGAATTTGTGTAAGAATTCATAAAGGTATAGTTTATATTCATTGTACTGAGATTACTAGTTACTATTCATTGAATGCTATTTAGCAAATTTATGTAAGATGAATTAATCCTCATCTTCTAAAATTTATCTTCCTTAAGTGATTTTATATTTTCTACTGTTACTTTACCTTTCTGTTTCTGGCATATATATTTTTAAATCATATTATTGTTCTCTTGACCTGACTATTTATTATTAATGGTGTTGATCCAAGCTGAGAGCCTATACCTTCAGTTAAGAGAATCCTTTGATATACATAGAACCACCTTTTAGAGTTGTCAGCTATTTTTAAAATTTTTGCTAGTTTCAGTTGATGTAATAGCATAGTAGACTATTTTCATATTGTAGAATAGTTGTAGATTCCTTAATTTAAGATGAAATAGGGGCCTGGAAGATAGCTCAGTAGAATAAGCGCTTGCCTGGTAAGTGTAGGGTCCTGAGTTCAATCCCTGGGATCGCAAAAACAAACAAGAATGAAATATTTTAGATACTTAAGATAATTCCTTGTTATAATTATTATTCCCTTGTTGGTTTATTTGTTGTTTTGGTGGTGATAAATTGAGTAGTGTGAAATTAGCTAATGGTCGATTTTAAAAGAAACCGAGTTTCTGGATATACACAAAAACATTATACCAGATTTAGTTACAGACTCAACTTTAAAATAAGATAAGTCACTTACTCCATTCTGAATCACTTATAATACAATAACAAACCAATTATTAAGTATTCTAAAGCTCATAGCCATAATACTACATGATTTTTAAACTAAAGTTATTCTTTAGTAGAGAGAAAATATGATACAGTTGTAACAATATTTCAGAAATGTCTGGAGATTTTGAAATTAATACTTAAGTGAAATGAAAGTAATTTTCAAAATTATGTGAGTATAATGTAGCTATTAAAATTACAGATAGGGCCAGGGAGACGGCTCAGTGGAATAAGCGCTTCCCTGGCAAGCGCAAGGACCTGAGTTCAATCCCCGGTTCCGGGAAAAAATAAAATAAAATCACAGATTTTGTGCTATAAATTCTTTGTCTTAATAATCATTATTTGAATGTAAGAGACTATGGAATAGTGCTATCCAAAGGAAATACAATGAAAGCCATGTATATAATTTAAAAATTTCTGGTAGCCACAGTAAAAGTATAAAAAGGAACAGATAAAACAAATTTTAGTAATGTATTTTATTTATCCAAAATAGCAAAACATAGTTTGAACATGTAGAAGTTTATTAATGAAACATATCATATTGTTTTTTGTTGTTGTTGAAACAGAATCTCACTATATTGTCCAGGCTGGGTTGCATTCATATCATTTTGCTTCTACCTTCCGAGTTGCTGGGATTACAGACATTGTTGCCACTGCCCAGGTCCCATTAATTTTTTATTTTTACTATTTGAAATCATTGTACATTTGTTTCTTATATATATAGCATATCTCAGTTCAGACTAGCTACATGTGAAGGACTCAGTAGCTCATGTGACTAAAAGGTATGTAGTATCAGACAGGTAGTAAAAAAATAAAATGAACATCCATGGAAAGGTCACCTATATACAATATGCATTGTAATGGATATCCATTTTTCTTCCAGTAAATATTGTTTCTTTTGGAGTATCAGTGGCATGCCCTTTTTTGTGTTTTGAGCAGAGTGAATTTCCACAGGCCTAAAAAAATCCAGTGATAAAGTCATGTCATAATCCAAATCTGTCACTTATACTATCTGTAAGACATTTATATGAATTTATATTAACATTAGGGTTTTTGTTTTGTTTTGTTTTGCCTTTTTGAGATAGGGTCTCACTATGCAGTTGAGACTAGCCGTGAACTCACTTAGTAGCCCAAGCTGGCCTGGAGCTTGCAGTAATCCTCCTGCCTCAGCATCCTGAATGCTGGGATTACAGGCACGTGCCCCCACACTCAACTAGCATTAGATTTTATGTAAATTAGTATAGTAAATATTTTATTGTAAACTAGATATATTAAAATATTGGACTTTTTTATTTTTTTAAGCATGGTAAGTGATAGAAGGATAGCACATTTCAATAAATGTCACTTGAAGTAAAGCCATGTTGTTACGTTGAGCTGTGGGGGACTCAGGTCAATAATTTCTGACATTGCCAGTTAAACAGAAGACCCAATGCTATTAAGGGCTTCTGGACTCTTTTAGAATATTTTGCTGAGTTTACACACCTATAATATTCAATAACGGAATGTAGAAAAAATGGGGTATACCGATGAATGTCCATTTTGTATCTGTGTATTCAAAGTGGTTAGAATGATTTGTTCTAATGGTGTTTGT